GGCCCCTGAAGCTGTGGTTCACGGTGCTGGAGGGCTGCCACCGCACTAGCTGCATTGTGTCCAACCTCATCGTCGGCAATTCCTACGTCTTTCGTGTCTTTGCGGAGAACCAGTGTGGGCTCAGCGACACGGCCCCCGTCACAGCTGACCTGGCCCACATCCAGAAAGCAGGTGAGGAGGAGCCGTGAGTGGGAAGAGCTGAGGGTGGGTAGACCGGAGCGGCTTGGGGTCTCAAACACCAGATCTGCGGCCCCCGCAGTGACTGTGTGCAAGACCGAAGGGTTTGCCCTGCGAGATTTCTCTGAAGCGCCATGGTTCACGCACCCTCTGGCCGACTGCACGGCCGTCTCTGGCTACGACACCCGGCTCTTCTGCTGTGTCCGCGCCTCTCCCAAGGTGAGCGGGGAGCTCCGCAGGCTGCTTTCTGTGCCTCCTTCTCCTGCCCAGCAGCGCTAACTAGTCAGGTGCTTCCTTCACACTCATCGCCTCTCCATAGCAGAATGCATAGGGACGGCCAGGCACCCCAGTCTCCGGCACCCTAATGTTTTCCTTTCTGTGTTTATTCCTAATTACTATGCCATGGGCAGCTGGGCATGAATTGTCTCTGCAGGGGTGGTAGAGGCCTTCTGGGTTCTCTGTATTCACCCCGCACCTCCTCTGACTAGGGTCACGCACTCCTGTGCTGTCTGGAGTTGAACCCCTGGCCACACCCTGCACAAGACTGTCTGTCTACAGCCTAATGTCTGCCCTCCATCCATGGCCTAAGTCACCTTTACCAACTACCTTTTGTGTTATGAGACCTAAGTCAGGTTCCATGGGGATCATGTCTCCAAAAGAGAATATCAAGAAGTCCATTCCAGAAATTACTTTCCAGTCAGAGGAGACAACAGTGACTCTCAAGCCAACAGTGGGAACAGACTCTGAATAATTTAACTCACATGAAAACAATAATTTAACTCACATGAAAACTTGATGTCCAACACTTATGATCCATGAAGGGGCTGCTAAAGTTGTTAGAACAAAAGCTATCATCTTTCTTTTTTATTTTATTTTATTTTTTTTTAAAGATTTATTTATTTGTGCATACAGAACTGGGGTACAGGCCAAAGGCTCAGGGGCGGCGAGAGGCTTCACCAGAGACAGAGTGGGGAGCAGAACAGGCAGATCGAGGAAGTACACTGCTGAGGGGAGCAGCGGGCGGGTCAGGAGAGGTCTGCCACGCCATGTGGTCACCTCCGGGGCAGGCGGGGATCGAACTCATGTGGAAGCGGCTTTAGATTCTCAGTGCTGTGCTTTAACCCGCTGCGCCACCAGGGAGGGCCTCTTTTTTATTTTTTAAAAAGATTTATTTTATGCATACAAGAACTGGGATATAAGCCAGAGGAAGGGGGCGGGTGTGCGGTGAGAGGACTCACCAAAGACAGAGTAGGGAGTGGAACAGAAGGAGCTACTCAAATACACTGCTGAGGGGAGCAGTTGGTGGGTCAGGAGCTGTCCACTGCGCCCTGTGGATCAGCTCCCTGGCTGAGGATCAAACTCAGGGTGCAGGGGGCTGCAGACAGCTTCACAGTGCTTTGATTTAACCGGTTGCAACTCCAGGGAGGGCCCAAAAGTTAGCACCTTTCTAACCAGGGATACTTGCTGAATCAGGTCAGGTTTGGGTGCTTATTTCCACCAAGAGACCTTGGGACACCAGTGAAGGGACTGAAGGGGAATCTGGCAAGCTCCCCAGAAGGCTATTATTACTTCTACATCCCTGTACTGTCTGTTGGAAAGCTCTCTACGCCTCCTGCTGCTCTGGCTGGGGCAGAGTCCCAGACACTGAGCACAGAACGAACAGCTGGTTCTTGCCACCCTTACTGCCCCTCACACCTGTATCTTCCAGCCGAAGATCATCTGGCTGAAGAACAAGGTAGATATTCAAGGCAACCCCAAGTACAGAGCCCTCATGGAGCTGGGAATCTGCTCCCTAGAAATCCGCAAGCCTAGCCCCCTGGACGGGGGTATCTACACCTGCAAGGCAGTTAACCCCCTGGGAGAGGCGTCTGTGGACTGTCGGGTGGATGTGAAAGGTAAGGGCAGCAGAATTTAAGGCCAATCATCTCTCCTTCCTCAGGCTGAAATGTCAGACTTGAGCTCCCATGGAGCAGGGCTTGATTAGCATGAGGAGCTGTTTTTAGTACACATTACCTTGTTTCTCTCCATCAAATTCTGTGATACAGGAAGAATTCTTATTTCCATTTTGCAAAGGACTAACAGGAAGCGTTGGGAGGTCATGGGTTTGCTCAAGTTGCTGGTGTTGGGTTGAGAACTAATTGAGCACTGCAGTTGGGAAGAACCCACATTTCAAGACCCTCACACTGTTTTTCTTTCAACTATACAATCTGGGTCCAGGAAAACAACTGTTTGTTGGGCTTTTCTTTTACTTTCTCCTCTTGCCTACACAAAAGAAATAGTGTCCATTGCTTTTAAATTATTCTTCACTTATCCATTCCTGTCACTGTGTTCAGATCTCCATCACTGCATCTAGCACATTGCTTTATAGCTGATTACATACCACTCTGTTTCCCCATCGACGTGAGGCCTGGGGGTACAAGGACAATCTCATTTGCCTTTGTCCCCCAGTGTCCAGCCCAGTTTCTGATACTCTTCCAGCACTCCCTAAATGTATGTAGCATGGACAAGGAATGAGCATCACATCCTCTATTCCTCCTTCTGTTACAATTCCTAATTAGCACATAGATGCCTGACACCCTGAGACAGAATATCTTTTCCCCATGCTCCATAAGCAGGTACCCCAGAGAGTTCTGATATTAACATTGAGAAATGTCTGAATTCTTGCAGCTCCTCAGTGAGGCTTCCTCAGTGAACACAGGTGACTGTGAGAAAGGTAAGGAAAGAGGAACAGCGTGTCCCGTGGAGGCTTCTGTGTGTGTGGCGGATGTCCTGGCGTCTGGAGCAGGGGTGTATGCCTGAGCCTTTCGGTCACACTGATCATCATATTTCTCTTAACCAGTCCTTTTCATCAACTAATATTTCCCACCCCTGTAGTGGGAATTTACACAGATGAAGCCTCTTTTGTCACATCCTCTGTCTAGACATATATTTTTATAAAGATTTATTTATGCATACAAGAACTGGGATACAGGCCAGAGGCACGGGAGGTGAGAGGATTCGCCAAAGACAGAGTGGGGAGCAGAGCAGGCATATCGATGAAGGACACTGCTGAGGGGAGCAGCGGGTGGGTCAGGAGAGGTCTGCTGGTCACCTCCCTGGCTGGGGATTGAACTCATGGTGCAGTGTTTGTGACTAACTTCCAGTGATGTGCTTTAACCCATTGTGCCACCAGAGAGGGCTCTGTCTAGCTGTACTTTTCACATGGGTGATAAGAATTAAACCCAATGGTCCTGTGAAGAAGAGGGGTACCACTTACGTAATTGAAAGGGGGTTCTGTGGAGAGAGATGGGCAGGTTCTGCAAGAAAATGAATCAAGGGGACAATCAGTCAGGAGAGGAGAATGGGGGAGGTTACCATTACCTCCTGGGCCAGCGAGGAAAAGAGAAAGTTGTTCCTTTAAGGAAGGGTTTTTAACTCAGTATCATAAGCACGGTGAGAAACAGATTTGTTCTTTTTTTTTTTTTAAGTTTATGGATTCCTTTCCTTTCAGGTGAAGAAAGCCACCATTATCACTATACACCAATAATAAGTAAATATTTGGGTATGTGGTGCAAGCTGCACATTACTGGCAAGGGCCATCCCTCAGAATTTAACAGTGCCTTCAATTCCAAATCATTTACTATAGAAACAGCGTATGCAAACCTACAAGGGAAGAGAAAAAGAAGCTCATGGAAGGGCGAAACAGAATGGGTTCCCACTGTCTGCTCCTGCTTGCAGCTGCTGGCGGATAAAAATTGAGAATGAGTTTGATTCCAGAAGCCATTTATTTAAGGCTATTATTGATACATAGCAAATGAAAACGCTAAGAGACCCATTAAAAGGAGGCTTCTCAGGAGATCTCTCTGCCAGTTAGCCTGCCAAGACCGCTCTCTCGCCATCCATCCCTGACTCCTGTGTTGATGTTCTGTGGCAGCGCCATTAGCTTTGATAGTGGTAGTTCCCCACTTACCTTTCTCCCAGCCAGTGCCTGGCAAGGAAGCAGAGTAAGAAGAGATTTCCTGGTAGGGGGCCTAGGGACCACAGAGAGGGGTTGCTGCAGTATCCTGGATGTGTCCTAATGTTTTCTGTGACAGCCACCACATGCCCTCTCTCTTCTGTGCCCCCAGGAAGCCTCATGGTGGCGAATGGTGTTCTCACAGGACTCCAGTGCAGCATCTGGTTTGGACTAATCTAAATAAATGTGTGGCTCCCTGATGCATAAATGTCTGCTTCTTTTTTAGCCTTTCTACATGGAAAACCCATTTAGAATGTTGAAATTATTTTTTAAAAGATTTATTTATTTATGCATACAGACCAGAGGTGCTGGGGGGTAAGGGATTCACCATAGACAGAGTGGGGAGCAGAACAGGCAGATCTACTGAAATAGAGGGGAGCTGAGCTGGGAGCAGCAAGCTGTTCAGGAGAGGTCCACCATGCCACGTGGGTCACCTCCCTGGCCGGGGATCAAACCAGTGCTGCAGTGGCTGCAGACAGCTTCATAATGCTTTGCTTTAACCCATTACATCACCAGAGAGGGCCCAGAACCTTGAAATTCTTTAGCCAGACTGTGCAACCTCAGGACCTGAAGTCTCCTCTTTGTCTTCCTATACTTAAATTTTCTCCCTATACCAGTTCAGTTTCTAACATTCACCTTTCTCCCAGGCAATCTGTGCAGCTGAGTCTAACTCCATACAGCTTCAGATGCTGAAGACAGCTTGCTCTCCCCTCTCTAGGCTTTCCAGTCCAAGATGCACATCCATCAGAGAGATGCACAGAGCAGGGCACTCTAATACTGGCACTACTTAACAGCCGATTCTTTTATGTTTTCATTTGTGCATTCAACACTATGGAATACTTTCTGAGTAAGACCTACCATGTCTGGGAAGGAGTGTAATTTCTTTGTTAACTCATCTATTCATTATTTACCTCAAATACCTATTCATAAACACCATCTCAGGGCTGGGCTGCGAGGGGAACAAATATTTCTCAAACTAGTGGCCTTATATTGCGTGAACAATTCCTTGTGCCTGAAATCTATTTTTCCGGCTACTGTCATGCTAACAGAGGAGAAAGTCATTCCTTCTTTGTTTGTTTTGCTTTTTCTTTCTGGTACCACAAGGACTTTCAGAATCAGAAATTGGTGATAGAAAATTAGAGGTAAGTGTCCTTAGAAGAAACGAACTTCTAATATGCTAAAACTTCTTGCCTGGTCACCTAAAGATGGGTGAGGAAGTTAAGTGCAGAGCTCTCTACCCAGGCTGCTCTCAGGGGAAAAAGGAAGGCAGTTAATTAACAGTTTCTTGCCTTCTGATCTCCACTTTGCCACTACCTGCCTGGACAGAGGGGAGCTACTGGCTCTGTTTTCCCCGCCTTCATAGAACCTAAATCCAACAAGCAACTAACAGCCTCTTCTCTCTGGGATTCTTGACATAAGGTTGCAAGTTCTGGGCCTCCCATCCTTCCCCCCCTCACCCCCACTAAATTCCAAGGCTACTTTGCTTCCTGTGGCATTTATTACAGTAACATTCTTTCCCTCCTGCAAACCTCACCACCTCAGCCTCGCACCAAACTGGGAAGTAAACAAAAAGTCTACAAATGGCCCAAATAATGGTCTGTGGAGACTAAGAGCTCAGGCTCTAAGGATCGGGAAAGGTCTTCAGCTAATCTTTAACCTTTAAAATTTTATGACATTTCTAAGAAGCCCTGTTAACTGGTGGCCCAGCCTATCCAGGGGCAGCATTTGGAAACAACAGAGAAATCCCTAATAAGTAGGCTTATGCCTTTTACAAACACAGCTTTAGAAGCTGCTAGTTACAACACCTCCTCAAAAACCCCTGAGGCACACCGTCTAATACTTGATGTTCATAATTATCCTCCTAACCATATAACTATGACTGTCACAATCCTCGCTGCAGATAAGGGAGAGGTCAAACAGATTCAAGTCCGCCTAGATTGTAAACCGACGAGTCACGGTTGCATCTGAACCCAAATCTGTCTGAACACCCCCTCGATTTCTTTACACCTCGGTTGCCTCACATTCTGCATGTTCTTGCTTTAAAAGGCTATATAAAATGTACTTTTGGGCCCTCCCTGGTGGCGCAGCGGGTTAAAGCACAGCACTGAGAATTTGAAGCCACTTCCGTATGAGTTCGATTCCCGCCTGCCGCCTGCCCCGGAGGTGACCACATGGCGAGCCAGACCTCTCCTGACCCGCCCGCTGCTCCCCTCAGCAGTGTACTTCGTTGATCTGCCTGTTCTGCTCCCCTCTCTGTCTCTGGTGAAGCCTCTCACCGCCCCTGAGCCTCTGGCCTGTACCCCAGTTCTGTATGAATAAATAAATAAAAAAAAAAAATGTACTTTTAAGCAAACTTCAACGCAAATGTTTAGATGCTTCCGGAACTTAGAAAAATCACAATTGAGTTTTATCTGGCCAACACAGCGTTTGCATTATTTTGCGAATCCAGGGGTATGAATTTCGTCTGCCGGAGACTTAGCTAGCTTCAGGGGCGAGGGTCGTGAGCGGTGATGGGACGCCAGGCGGGCTCCCGGGGTCCCCAGGCACAAACACGCGGGATGCTCCCACGCGCACTAGGCAGCAGGCGGGGCGGAGAGAGGGGCGTCGGGGAGCGAGGCCCACGCTCATTGGCCAGTTTCTTCGCGCGCCGCACGGGGCCCCGCCCCTCCGGGGCGCGGCTCCGCCCTGCTCGCGACCAAGGCACCCAGGGAAGATTCCCGGGCACGCGCGCGCCCGCGGCGCCCGGCGGGGCCCTCCGGATGGAATCTCCTCGGAAGCGCTCTGCACACGGCCCCCTTCTGAAGACTTCCGGCGGGCCGGCCGCGTCGCCCCACCCCCCTGAGGGTGGAGAGCCTTCTGGGATACGCCAATCAGCGCGCGCCTGTAGTAGGAGTGGGTGGAGCCTGAGAGATTCGAAAGGAGCCCCGCCCCCTCAGAGCTGATTCCCGGGACTACATTGTGGCACCTTCCGCGGAGGTGAGAGGAGGCGGAAAGTGGGGACGGATGGTGGGCGGGAGGTGTGGAGTGGGTGTGGTGCCGCGGGGAGAGGGAAGGTGGCTTGGAGGGGACGGACCCGAGGACAGTGGCGGGGAGGAAGACAGGACGTGCTCTCTGCCAGCCCTGAGAGGGGTGGGAGAGGGGCGGGGGTACCAGGGGCTTCCCCGTAACTTAGGGTCGGGGTCAAGGGGGAGTGACAGAGGCAGGTGCTTCTCGGATGCTCGCTTTTCCACTAGCTTGACCCCAGCCCCAGGATCTGTGGGCAGGGAAGAGACATGATCAAGTTTGTTTTCTCTGCAGCCCAAGACTGAACTGACTATTGCTCCTGCTGACTGGAACATGGAAGATTTGGAGGGAGGTAAGAAAACCCTGGAGGGGAAAATAGGCCCTGCGATCTTAGGCTGGCGCTTACCCTTTCCTCCCCTTCAGATGTCAAGTTTATTGTGGATGAGACCTTGGACTTTGGAGGGCTGTCCCCATCTGACAGGTACCAGCCTGTTTATCCCACTCCTCCAACAATGCCTATTTGTTTCTAGCTTCCTACTGCAGGATTTCTGGGCTCTGGCGACTGGGTTAGTTGTTTTGCAAAGCTGGGTGCACTGGGGCTGCTGGATGCTTGCTTGGTCGGGCCCTTATGGCATGGCTGGAGGAAGGGGGAAGCTGGAAGGAGAAGTCAGGGTGTTAAGAACTTGGGTAAGTGGATTGGCTGCATCTTCATCCTGGCATAATTTCCACTGTCAGAAATGCTGAAGGCCTTCTTGGGCCTCGTGAAGCCAGTGTCTCCTCCTCTAGAAGCCCCACCTCCCAACCAGCATGGACATCAGGGGGTGGGGTTGTGTCCCTGGCTCTGCTGCAGGGGTTTTGTGGCTCTTGCAGTCTCCTGCTCTCTTCTGTGTGGGCATGGTGTCTGGTTTGTTTTCTGTCTCAGTCGTGAGGAGGAAGACATTGCCGTGTTGGCAACTCCAGAAAAGCCCCTCCGACGAGGCCTCTCCCACCGAAGTGACCCGAATGCCGTGGCCCCCACCCCTCAAGGTCTGAGGCTCAGCTTAGGCCCCCTCAGCCCTGAGAAATTGGAGGAGATCCTGGATGAGGCCAATCGCCTGGCGGCTCAGCTGGAACGGTGCGCCCTTCAGGAGCGGGAGAGTGCGGGCGAGGGCCTGGGGCCACGCAGGGTGAAGCCCAGCCCTCGAAGGGAGACCTTTGTGCTGAAGGACAGTCCTGTTCGAGATCTGCTACCCACTGTGAGTTCTTTGGCTCGGAGCACCCCTCCCCCAAGCAGCCTGACACCCCGAGTCCGGAGCAGCGATAGAAAGGGATCCCTTAGAGCTCTTCGAACAACGTCTGGAAAGAAGCCATCCAGTGTGAAGAGGGTGAGTTCCGAGGGTTAGGCTGGAAGTGCAGTTACGGTGCCCAGCAGGGTACAGGCATGGAGCCATCCCCTTGCTGGCAATATGAGGCTAGTAAGAGTCTGCCTCACAGAATTGTCAGAATTCAGCGCATAAGCTTAATAATGTCTAATAAGCTCTCAGTAAGTGGTATTGGTGATGATGTAAGCAGCCAAGTTCTGCCCTTCCTTCCTGGGAGCTAGGCAACTCTCCATCTCTATCCCTCAGTCAGCCAGCAGAACAGATTCTTGCTCCATTTTAGGCTTCTCCCCCCTCTCTTTGTGTTTCAGGAGTCGCCCACTTGCAATCTGTTCCCCACATCCAAGAGCCCAGTATCTTCTCCTCTTGCCCGATCAACCCCAAGCCGATCAACTCCTCCAAGCCGATCAACTCCTCCAAGCCGATCAACCCCTCCAGCGCGATCAACCCCTCCAGCGCGATCAACCCCTCCAACCCGGTCAACCCCTCCAACCCGGTCAATCCCTCCAACCCGGTCAACCCCTCCAACCCGGGGAAAAGCTGGACCTAGTACGAGAGCAACAGCAAGTGAGAAAATCTGGGGGGTGGGGCTGTGGGTGAACGGAAATAGGAAGGATGTGGAATTCACCCTAAAAGTCCTCCTCTTCTTTCCACCAGACCCCTCTGTCCCTATCAGACCAGTCTTGGCCCCACAGCCTTCTACCAGCACCTCTCAGCGCCTGTCCCGACCTCAGGGGGCAGCAGCTAAACCCTCCAGTCGGCTCCCCCTTCCCTCGGCCATCCCCAGGCCGGCCAGCCGAATGCCACTCACCAGCAGAAGCGTAGCGCCCAGCAAAGTGGCTCTGCCTCCAGATTCTCTGCCAGCTTGGAAAGGACTCCCAAGACCAAGTGCTGCCGGGCACAGAGGTGAGGAAGAATGGACTTCGGGGTTAGAAGTGAGGAGAAAGAACACCCACCCCTCCTTGGCTTGACCTCACTCTTGCAGAGCTGTTCACAGCCGTCCTTTACTCCAGCTTCGTGACAATCCTTTGAAGATGAGGAGACTGAGTTAAAGGAACAGTGTGACCCGGGCAAAGAGTTTGACCCTAGATTTTCAAATATCTGACGTTCTTTGCTTTGGTGTGGGGGGCGGGCACTAACCCCGGAATCACTCTGCATTCATCCAGTATTTCTTTTTCAAAAGATGATTGGAACTTGCTTCAAGTTCATGTCTTTTGTTAATCCCCTTCTAGTTCCTGTTTCCCAGCGGCCGAATCTTGCTGTCGCTGGTGCCACTCGCAGCAATCTGCAGCCCCCCAGGAAAATTGCAGTTCCGGGGCCTACCAGGTAAGACTGATTGAGGGGCCGTCTCACCCCTGCTGTCATCTGATTCTGCACTTTCTTGCACATCACCCCAAATCCTGTGTGATAAGATGAGGATGAGGTGGAGGGCCAGGAGTCCCATTTCTTTCAGCCTTGAGGATCTTGAACTCAACTGGGTGACAGATGGGTTGGAGAAAGAAGGGTAATTCAAAGCAGTTCCTCCTGTCTCTCTAGGTAAAGAGACCGGGACGCAAGCAAGATTTCAGTAGCAAACCACTATAGTCACTGCCTGGACTCAACTCCACATGGCCTCCAGTACTTCTTGTTGGACACAGGCCCTGACTCCAGCACATTCTGGCTCAGGAACAGGAAGAAAAGATGCCACCAGGGCTGGAGTGTAGATCATGGAGGTGGGGGTGGCACGGCTGAAGGAGAATCAAACTCTCTGGGTTGAAAGATTAGGGAAGAAGGGTTACCTCCCAGCAGTGAAATTAGCAAACAAAAAGAAATGCAGGCGTGGTCTGTCCTTATCCACCACTCCTGTGTTTAGCCCCAGAGTGTTTGATCTACTTCCCAGGTATTGGTTTACTGGACACTTATGTGAATGGCCTCTGTAACTGACCTCCCTGCTCCCACATCCTCACCAGGACTTGGGCCTGTTGGCAGAGACAGAGGCAGGCGCCTCGCCTCCAGTTTCCTGTGAATTCCATGATTCCTAACAGACCGGTTTGATAAGCTTAATCCATTGGTCTGCCTTTTTCTAAAATAAGATGAATGTATTTTTATATTCTCTCTATGTATGTGAAGACCATGTACCAATTTATGAAATAAATCTTGTGTAATTCCAATGAGAGAACCAAGATAGGTGGGGACGTGATTAGGTTCTATGGCCTTGACATTCCAGTGCACCAGGCTGTGACTACCCTCCTGTTGGCATTAGATGGGAACAGGCTGCCTTTTCCCTAGGATTTATGTGTTTTTGGAAGGTTCAGAGCAAAGTTAAATATTGTTGCATTCACAGTGTAAAGCTGTCAGGCTAGGGTCTTGACAAATAACTTATGTGCTAAAGTTGGGTGTCCTGGCAAGAGAATGAACCCTCCTAGGAACTCCTTTGGTGAGTACCCTAGTATTGAGCTTCTGGCTGATTACCTCCGCCAGAAGATTCAGGAATACCTCATGACAGTTACCTTCCGACATTAGAACTCCCGGTGTTTGCCTCTTGTCTCCTCTGCTAGACTTGAGAGTGCAGCATCAGGATTTAGAAACCTGTGCAGGCCTAGTGTTGTGACACTTACATGGCAGAGAATTTCATTTATTGAAAAAATGAGGGTAAGTGATGTGTGTGTTGAATGACTGGCACTCATTTCTAACAGCTTCATCTAAGGGTCTCCCCTTTCTCACGCTTTTGTCTCGCAACCAGAACCACCTCAGTGCCTTGTGAGTTTTGAGAGAATCTGCCTCCTTGAAAGCCAGGCCATGACTTAGGGAAGCCAGTGGGAGTGCCATCTGGTGCCCTCTCCCCCCCCGCCACCCCCCCTTATTTCTACGCTCAGGCATCGAAATGCCCTTTCTCCTGGACCGGGACCCTCTACTGCTTCTCCTGTTTATGTAGCTGATCTGAAGCTTCAGTTATTAACTCATTCGCCTATATGCAACGAGAGTGGTCTTAAGTATTCGCCTTACCCTGACTGTCCTGGAGTCTTCCGGGATTCCAAGAATTGAGTTGAGGGAAGGGGAGTAGAGACAGATACTGAGTATTGGGCTCTGGAGAAGTTTGGCAAAGGCAAGAAAACTTCAGGTGTTTCCCAGCTGTGGCCTGTGGCCTGCACTGGGATCTGAGGAGCAAGGGCCTGGTGGAGCCAGCCTGCTCTGACAGAAGCACTGGAAGGTCAAGGCCAGGCACAGGCTTCTGTGTGGCCCCCAGATGGCATGTTTGTGGGGGGCTAGGTATGGGCCGGCTCACAGCAGTCCCGTGTGCTGATGCCACCTGGTGGCCAGAGAGGACAAGGCATGTTCCTCTCTCCCTCTTGGGTCAGCTGAATTTTGTGCACACAGCCCGTCACCACCCTCCAGCCCAAACCTACTTCGGTAACACTCAGAAGGCTGTGCCAGCAGGGAGCCCTGCCTGCCACAGATGTCCTTGTGCCACTCCTTGCTTGCTTTTTTCCCTTTCAGTCTCACACTGTTATGTTTCCCATGCACTCTACCTCTACCCCAACTAGGAGCAGCAATGAAGGAAGCCAGTGTTTACTGGCCTCTTACTATGCACTGTGAACTGTTCTAAGCACTTTACATGTGTTCACTCATTTAATCCTCATAAAAGCTCAATTAGGCAGATGCTATTATCATACTTGTTTTGTAGGCAGAGAAACCAGGCTCAGAGAGATTAAGTCATTTGTCTGGTTCCAGGGTTTGTATTCTTAATTGTTTGTTCTCCGTTACCCCTGTGTTCACACCCCATCTAGTCTGTTGAACAGAACTCTGAAAGACACAAAACTAGGAAACAGAAGTCATGTTGCAGAGACCGTAGTTGGTGAGAGTATGTAGTTGCTTCGCTGCTAATGGGAAAAAACACCAACGGTCCAGGCAGGATTTCCAGCAGCCCCTGAACGCAGCCCTCCCTGCCTCCTGAATTCTGCCCCCCAGGACTTGGCCCTGTCTTGGATTTAGCCCACAGGAACAGCCTGGAAACCCGCCTTCGTTCCCTCCCGCCTGGTGAAGGCCATTTTCCCACCGCCTGTCACATCTTCCTTGGACGTGAAGAGCAGGGGTCCGTGCTGATGCACTTTTGGGGAGCACTTCTGGGGGTGTTGGTGGAATGACTGCTCTTCATCTACTTGGTATCTGAGCCCCCTGACCTAGTGGGGCCTCTGGGAGGCCACCTATTCCTTTTCCAGAGACCAGGCCTCCCACCCCTACAAGGACAGGGCGCCACACAGACACGACCGCAGTGTTCAACCCGCACAGAACTAGTTTATTCAGTAGTATGGGGAAATGAAAAAAACAAAACAAAACCCTACCGTATTTACAGTAACAATCAAACTGTACAATCTGATGGTTAGTATCAAGTTAGCATCCAGCATCTTTGTATTTTTTAAGTCAAGTCATCAGTAGTAAAAACCAGTTAAATTTTTAACCCTTTGCAGGAATTGCTGAGGGGAGAGGGCAGGGAAAATCCAAGGCGGGGAAGTTGGAGACCAGCCTTCTAAATGAGACACGGGCTGTTTTTCTGCCCGGAGACTCTGTTTTTAGCCACCGGCTCCAGAGAGGAGCTGGTGACAAGTTTGGGATACATGCTTCACGTACGTGGTGACTCAAACGAATGGCAGTTGGCAAAACCAAGAAGGGAGAGGAGAGGTGGGGAGATGACAGCCTGGAGCAAGAGGAAGGGCCTCAGGCTCGGGCCCCCAGCCAGGATGCTGGGCGCACACCCAACCTGGGACGGCCACCACACACCCCCCGGCACCGGACACGAACCCATCCCAACGCAAAAAGCAAATAAATTAAAAATATATATTAACTCTCTCTTCGCAGGGAGCTGGGGGAGGGCAGGCGGGGAAGAGGAGCAAGACCTGGTCCTTTGAAGAAGAGAGCCAATTCCAAGAAGGGGTTAAAAATAGAACCTGTCTCAGAGGCCACAGCAGGTCAGACAGAGTGGGGTTCGTCTGATCTTGGGGGGGGGGTGAGTGGACACTGGAACCCAGACTTGAACCCTGTGCTTGAGATGCTCGGGGTAACCGACCAGCACGGCATTGGCTCTTCCTCCCCATCCCACCCACACAACAGCAAGAAGCAATTTAACACACGACTGGCCTTCCCCAGCGTGGGGCGGGCAGGGAGACGAAGCACTTTCGGGTCAGCGAACTGAGCAAACGCCTGGGGCTGCGGCGCGTGGCCGGAGTCCAGGGACAGGAGAGGGCTGGGGTGGCCCGGCCGCCGCCCGGGGCGCGGGCTCCCTCACAATGTGTTCATGCAGCATTTGGCGGTCCGGGGGCTCTGAGTCCTTCTGCCCCCTCACCGGACAAGGCTTTTTCAGTTCCTGGGAGGCGCAGCACAGGGTGGGGGGGGAGGCGGCCCTCTGCCCAGTGCCCACGCCATACTGAGGCCTGCCCGGGTGCAGCCTGCAGGGCTCAACACCCTGGGGGCGTGTGGCTTTGTCCTTTCCTTTTGGTGATGGCAAATTGGGGGCAGGCCCCCCAAGAGTCCCTCTCCTCCCAGAGGCACAGCAGATGGGAAACTGAGGAGAGGCTGGGAAGCATCCTGGGAGGACCTATCCTCTTTGGGAAGGGAAAGGGAAGTCAGTTTCCAGCGTATAAAAAAAATTAATCCCTGAAGTCATGAAGAGTGGAGATTCCTTTTTTAAATTCGTTTTTTCTCTTTTCTGAAAAACTTTGTCTTGGAGATGTTGGCCCCAGGGGTCCAAAGTGCAGTGAGGGGGATGGCAGGGGGGAGGGAGTTGGCACTAGATGGCCTTGGGGAGGGGCGCCCCTCCCAGCAAGGCCCAGGCTCCTCAGATGGACGTTTCGTCGCTGCTGCGGGCAGGCGGGCAGGCGTGGGAGCAGGGACGGGATAAAGCACAAGACAGGAGTGGGCATGAGTGCAGCTGGGGAAGGTAAAGGAGCCTCAGGGTGTAGGAACCACCGGCCCAGGGTTAATGCAGGAAGTTAAAGAAGAGAAATCTGGAGAGGCAGGAGAGGAAAGCGACAGAACAGGTAGACAGAGGGTTAGTCAGAGCAGAGAAGACAGTGAGAAGCTTTCACCAGAAGGAAACAGAAAAGCAACCCAGCTGCCCGCCCGCCCTCGCTGCCCGGTACTGCCTGGGCCAACCCACACGCAGCCTGGAGGCCGTCCACCGCCAGCCAGAGGGAAGCCGGAGGCCGCCCGAGTGCGGCCGGGCCTCGGGGCTGCAGCCTGCCTGCCCCCCCCCGCCACACTCACTCGGAACCTGACGAGTCCTCATCCACCGTGCCCGCCTTGATGCTCATAGCGATGGGCATGACCCCGTTCAGCTGCTCCTGGAGACTCTGCCGGGGAGGAGGGCGCGGAGGGTGCCCACCCCGGCTGCCCTCGCTGGCCGTGGAGCCCCGAGACGACCCCGTGCCCTGCTCCAGGGGCAGCCGCAGGAGGCTGCTCTTCTCGCTGATGGTGGGCAGACACTTCTTCTTGAGGATGCCTGTGGGCGGGGCGGCGGGGAACCCTGAGCAGGTGGCAGGAGCCCGGGCTGCGGCAGAGGCCCTCCCCCACCACAGGCAGATGCAAGGCTGCAGGCGGCCTGCGGGGGGCGCAGCTGGGCGTGCCGGCTTACCTTTGTGAGGCTGGGCAGAAGGGCCTGGAAGGGGGCCCAGGGACACCTCCCGCGGCAGGGCATCTCCATTCTCCCGTGGTCTCTCCTCAGGGGCCCCGCTGCCACTCTCCTTGGCTGTGCTCCCAAAGTCTCCTGGCCAGGAGGCCTTCCCAGGCCCTGGCCCCCCATCTGGTGGAGGGAGGGAGAAGATGAGATCCCCCTGAAGGTGGGCGACTAGGAGCGCCTGCCCCCACCGTAGTCTTGCTTCCCAGGAGGCCCTGTACCCCACAAAGGCCCGGCCGACGCTGGCCCACCCTTGGGGGTGCTGTGCAGCGGCATTCTCTCAGCGCCAGGCCCGAGCAGGCTGTCCCAGCCCGGCTCTCCGGGGAAGGCGCCCTCCTCGTCCTCCTCCTCCTCGCTGTCGGACGAGTGGGTGGAGGCATAGGAGCCACTCTGGTCATCTTCCAGGGACAGGTCGCTGTCGGAGTCGGTGTCCGGATCTGGGAGGTAAGCCAGAGA